CTGAGGGCAAAGAGGGGTTGGGTGGTCCGGCAAGTGGGTACAGGATTCTCATTTTGGCAGTCTTCTGGATGACTCCCTCCAAGACTGTCAGTCTCCATTTTATGAGGTACCTGCACCCATCCAGCCTTAAAGGCCTCATCTTTAACCAGGCTTTGAGCCATTTGCTTGACACTGAAAAACTGCTGAATTTTCCTGCCAAGTATATATCCATATATATTTCTATAGCTATAAATCACCTTCAAAACCACTTCTCCTTTTTTCAGTTAAGGTTACTCTATCTGAAGAACAGATAAATAGAAAAATAGATTTGTTCTTTAAAAAAAATAGACTTCGTGGTTAGACTCAGTTTTATGTCCTTTTTCTATTCCACTAGCTGTGTAAACTTGAGGAAAACTTTTAACTTCTCTGGGCCTTGGTCCCATCATTAATAATAATACCTACCAGCATCATCCACTGATACAATATTTAAGTGCCTATTGGGCACGAGGCACTGTGCTAGGCTCTAGGGATTTCATAGCAAAGGAGACAGACAAAATCTTGATCCTTGCAGCTCTTACAGTCTATAATCATTGCATAAATAAGTACTCAAGATTGTTACAGATGTGATAAATGATATGAAGGAGATGCACAGGGTGACATGACAGACTGAGCTACTTAAGTGGTATGGAGGCAAGACCTGAAGAACAAGAATGAGCAAACCATGGGAAGAAATGTCAAATGGTTATCAGGCAGGTTATTGAGCACAAAGGTCTGTAGATGGGGAAAATATTGTTGTTTTTAGGAACACATTTTACAGTACAGCATATTAAGAGGGAAAGTGGTACAAGATGAGGTCAAAGACATAGAGACCAGATCACACAGGTCTTATGGGTCATGATAAGGAATTTTAGATTTTTCTGTAATCAGAGTGATAAGCCAATGAAAACAGTGAAGACTTGTACAAGATTCATGTTTTTAAAAGATCGGTCTGGTTACTGCATGGTGAAGAGATTATAGGAAACAAAGGTGAAAGTAGGGAGTCTGTTGTAAGGATTACTATAATTACAAATGTAAAATCATGAGTACAAACCCCCAACACTATAAGTTCTCTGTGAATCTGAGCTGCGTTCTGGAAAGTCCAAGCCTGTCCTAACACAGTTGACACTAGTTTCATGTAGCTACTGAACATTTGAAATGTGGCTAAAATTTGGACTTCTTTTCAGGGATTTCATGTTTTATTTCATTGTAATTAAATTTAATTTTAATTTAAGAACTAATTTAATGTCTGATTCTGTCATTGGGAAATACATTTGAAAAACTTGGATATATAAACTTTTTTAACCGTAAACGTTATGAAATCTGAGTACAGATTCAAATATTTACCATGAAAATTTTCAAATTGAGATGTACCGACAGTAAAGTCCATATGTGATCCCAAAGAGTTAGTATGAAAAACAGAATATGAAATTTTTCTCTTCATAATTTTTATGTTGATCATATGCTCAAATGATAACATTTTGGGTATATTGAGTTAGATAAAATAAGATATAAATTTCACATATTTTATTGTTTTAAAGCTGCTACCAGAAATTTTTAAATTACATATGTGGCTTACATTGTATTGGTATTAAACATGCTGATCTAAGGGAAAACAGAAATCTATAAATTTAAATGCACAGAATGTTAACTGTTAATAATGTCTCCTGTTAGAAATCTTAATTTAAAGATTGGAACTGAGAAAAAAATATAGAACAATAGCATCTTTTGAAAACACTATAGAAATATAGGAACTACATCCTAGTTATGTGTTTTTATACATCACATCCCCAAGGAATTCTTTTGGCATCCCTGACTATTCCTGGATATTGGACTCTATTTTGGCAAGTTCAGGTACCCCAACTCTGGGGGAAGGTGGAAAATGGAGGCCAGGACTTAGAGGATCCCAGTGTGTAAAGCTTTCTCCCTAATGCCACACTCAGTAAGCCTCATGGTATTAATGTATCCACTTTGGGCACAGAAAGATCTGAGTCAGTCTAGCATAGATTTAAATCTATAGCTCCAGGGACCATAGATGCACAGAGCCTCCCAAAGTTTAACACAGTATCTGAATAATAATTCACTAGGGGAGTCAAGAGTGATTTCCATCTCTGCCTAAACATTTTCCACAAGGAAATTTATTTTAGGTTAAAGTTGGTGCCAAGTCTCTACAAAGTGCTATAGGTTCGTTACCTCATTTAAGCCTCATGAAACTTTATGAAGTAGGTATCAAGGCTCAGTGACCTGTCCAAGATCAGGTCACACAGTTGCTAAGAGACAGATGAGGATGTAAACCCAGGCAGTCTGACTCCAGAGCCCACACTCTTAACCACCATACTGGACAGCAAACCCAGTTGTCATGGCAGTGACCCAAAGCACCACCTTGAGTGTAAAACTCCTTCTCTTGTATCCTCCATCACTTCCAGCCATGGGTGAGACTAGCTCACCTCTCCCTGGTCCCCGCCCTGCTCCCAGCACAGAGCTGGTCACAAACCAAGTGAGCAACTACTTAAAGATTGAGAGAAAGACATGAGCCACTGAGAAGTCACCCAACTGCTCCCCCTAGAAAGAAAAGCAAAGAGAAATTGTTCCTTTGCCACTCTCCTGGTTTATTGCTGTACACACCACTGGGGCTAGTACAATGCACTGACTATTGGTTCATTCCTGTTCAGCTTCTATTCTTTCAACAAACTTCAGTGCTCAGTCCCTATGTGCTTTAGATGTGAATGCTCTTAGGTGCATTTCGGGGAATGTGAATGAAAGTTTCACAAATATTATCATTATTAATAATATTCATTATCGTTAGTAACACTTGTAATAGTAATCAAGTTACTATTATTAGTAGTAAATTATTGTAACAGTGATAATATGGTGAGACTTTCATTAACAATAGTGATTATAATAACAGCAAGTTTATGCTAAGTGTTATTAATATTAAAGAACTTTTTTTCTATCTTGAGCACTTCATTCTATATTTTAGATGAGACATAACACCATTTAATTCTTACAACTATCCTATAAGGTAATTCCAGAAGTGTCAAGATCTCTTTATGCAACTTAGCAGAGCACTGAGTTACCGTTTCGGCCATAAAGTCCAGAAAGAGGATCATTCACCCATGTCCATTGATCCCTTACAGCTGTAAACAAGACAGATACAGTCTCTACCCAGCAAAAATAACAACAGAATATTTCCATTCCCTTTAGAGTGGTTGTAAACAGTAAGAGCCAAAATCTCTGTGGTTCCAGGAACTGATTGGTGGGCTTGTATAAATTTGTTTCTTGCTTCACGCTCTCTACTTCAGCAATATTCAGCTATTTATCATTCCCCAAAATAGCCTAACTCAAATATCATGAAGACTTACCGAACTGGACCAATTGGTTGTTGGTTCTTGCTGGAAAAAAAAAAAAAAGAGTAAAGAGTGGATTGCTTCTTCCTTTAAGTTCAGTAGTGCTTTTAATCCCCCTTCTCCCCTGTCCCCCACTAACCTATGAGCTCCTGGTGACAGGAGACAGCAGGACTGTATCTTAGTAGGTCTCTTGTATCCAGCTACTTTCACAAGGCTTGTCACATATTATCACTGTCTCTAACATTCATTAAGTACTATGAGCCTAGCTCTGTGCTCCTTGTCCTGTAGATTAATGTTATTTCTTTCTCCAACAAATTTAGGATGGAGGTACCAGTGTTACCAATCCAAATTTTATAAACAAGGTAAAGTTATGTGTCAAACTTAGAAGCATTAAGTAATTTGCCCCAAAGTCACAGTTAGTCAAATGCCAGAGCCAGATTCAAATAATCAAATAATCCATCTAAAGCATGTTTTCACAGCATGTGCCACCAAATAAACACATAATCAATAGATGTTAGCTACTAGAATATCATCCAAAGTTAGACAGCTAGTAAAGTAATAAGGCTGACATTATAACAAAACTTTATCTATTTACCTATTTGCTTACTTATTTTGCTCCAAAAATTCACAGCCTTTCTATTACATCAGAATTTAGTTATCAGGACTTCTTACAGATCATAAGAGGCCTAACCACTTAAACTTTTTAAGTTCCTGCTGTATTTTAAAAATTAAGAAATATTAAAAGGTTTCAAAAATTCTGATATATCTTTCATGTTTACTTTTAGAACATTAAAGCTTTTAATTTACACACAAATACAATGGTATGCATAACCTCATTTACACAAAAATTCAAAAAACAAGTTTGATATCCTTCCTGAGAAAGTCCCTCCCAGCCATCTCTGCAGTAGGTTCTGTGATTCAGAAAACTATTAATACTCTGTTTTTGCTGCTTACTTGCCTGGCTACTTTAAGGGATATCTCAGTTACACATTTTCCAGCACAATGCCTGGGTCTGATAAACATTCAATAAATATTTCTTGGATAAATGTATAAGGCAACAGTTTGCTTTTGGTTCTAGGACTCCTTAACACTCTTAAATATCATTAAAGACTACAAAAAGTTTTTCTTTATTTGGGGTCTACCTACCAATATTTACTGTACTAGAAGTTAGAATTGAAAAAAAATAGTTCTTATTCATTTAAATAACAATACACCATTATATGCTAACATAAATAATCTTTTTATAAATACTAATTATTTTCCAAAACAAAAAGTATGTATAATAAGAAGAGTGGCACTGTTTTACTTTTTCTCAAATCTCTGGTCTAATAGAAGACAGCTGAATTCTCAAAGCTCCTTCTGTATTCAATCCATTGAACTATCACATGACACACAGTCTCTGGAAAACATTGTACATTCGGGAGAGAAGGAGTATGGGAAAAGCAAATAACAGCTTTCTTTTTTGTATTTTCGCAGAGTAACGCGCAGTCTTGCCGTAACCCAAGATGGAACCCGTCACTCGCATTTCAAGCTGTACAATGACGTCACACACAGACAGCGAGTCCTTCTTTCCCTGAGGGGTCCACTACATTTCCCAGAATGCTTTGCTAACAGCAACGCCATTGGTCCGCGCCGACGGAAGTACACTTGACTGAGCGGAAGTAGAGGATCTCAGACGCTGGGAAGGTGAAGACGAGAGAAGCTGTGAAGTTGTGAGTATCCGCTTGATCTGTGCGCTAGGTGGTGAGGGACGCACCCCCGAGACGAATTGTTGGGAATCGGGGGGTGGCCCCCTCCTTAACCTTTGGGGCCTCAAACTCTACTTTCTACCATAAGACCTGGGAGCGGGGAGGAACAAAGCATTGCTATAGAGGCGAAATCTCCGTATTGAGATCTTGCTGATTTAAGTTTTCGTGGGACGAGCTGGGGTTAATTCGGGCTCTTGTACCCACACAAAGGTCGTTGGCGTGATTTTGCTGAGACCAGAAAGGCGGGGCTGCTGACGGTATGACTCAGCTTCTGCTGCAGTGGTTCTCAATTGGCTGGACATAGGGATCACCTGGGATGCCTTTTAAAAATACAGATATTCTGTCCGGCAGACCAGAAAATTAGAATCCGTGTACGATAAGATCTGGATAGCAGTACTTGCAAAAGCGTCCCAAGTGTTACGTTGTGCTAGTCAGGATTGAGAAGCACTCTTTTAGTGCCTAATTCTGACGCGCACGGGGATCCTGGTTAGGAGCACCTGTGCCAGGCTGCTCTTCCGTTATAGCCTGGGTGAAGTTGATCACTGAAATTTTGGCAAGGGTTGCATTTTGAGCTCCACCCGAAGTTTATTTTTGAGTCTCTGGTGGTGGTGGTGGTGGTGATGGTGGTGGTGCTGGAAAGACAGGCCATAATTTCTTGTTTACGACTTAGCTGTTCATTCTGAATAAAAATCAGGTCTTTTTTACTCTTGCTGTTGTTTTAGCTTCTGCCTATTTTTTGCTACCCCGACAGAATGCGAGCGGTGGAAAGTGGGTGGGGTCACCGTTAAATCAGTTTCTTCTGTTGCTTTTATGACACTCTGAAAGGAGTATCAGTTAAAATGAGGCTTGGCATTATTTATAAGCTTACGATAAACCTTTTTTAAGTAATGAATTTCAGTGAGAGGAAGTTAGGGTGTGTTTTGGGCTTTGATACAGAAGTTTTAGGTGTGATAGGTAGGATTTTTTTTTTTAAATACAAGTTCCCCCTGCTATCAGAAAGTAAAGCGTTCCTATGAGACCATTCTTAGGCCAAAATGGTGTAAAACCAAGTACCCTCCAATTTCCAGAAGTTTGCCATACACCACTTTGCTTTTATGAAAGACTTGCATTAGTATGGTAATGGCTTTTTTGTGTAAAAGCGAAAATCCTCTTCGGATTTCTTTTGGTTAGCAAAGATAAGTACCATGGTGAGGCTGGGGTTCTTGTTCATGAAGCCGAAGAATGAGCTTCACAAACACTGAAGGTAGGAGAGCAAGGTACAGGCTTTTATTTAGAGATAAAGTAAGAGAGCTCCTGGGTCACGCCAGGAGGGGACAAGAGGGTCCGTGGTTGGCTCATTGTCTAGGGGTTTTATGCGCGGTTGAAGATTTTTCAGGAATGAGGGTAAAGGGTTAGGGGTGCAGACTTGTTGAGTGGTCCCAGAATGCTCATTTTTGATGAGTAATAGAAGAAATTTTCTGCTCTGATTCTTTCTCAAGATAACAGTTTCCCTCTGAGAGTATGTCAATTAAGACCGCCTACCCTGCCCCTAAGGTGGGCGGGGTTGTTGCCTTTTGCTGAAGTAAATTAAGATTCTTCTTAACTTCTTGGGCTGTCTATAGTTGGGCTTGCTTACTAAATTAGTCTTTTTCCGAGGTTGCAGATTACTTGGTTAGGATCAGAGAAGGAAATATAGCACATAGGTACAGTTAAAATAAGCTGGGCCTTTTAGCCGGCTAAGGTAAATTTTACAGTGTCATGATTTAAATGGATACAGTGAAGTCACGGGTTATGCTGAGACACTTTTCTTTATCTGCAGAACACTCAGACATTCCAGGCCAAGTTGCTGCTGGCCTTTTGAGTTTTAACTGATCTCACTGAAGATGTCTATATTCCCAGTCTTGTATCTTTACCCTAGAGAATTAGTGTGACTGACTGCATAATGCTTATGACAGAGTTTCAATAGGGACTTCTTTGCACATTACTACATTGTTCTGACTGTAATTATCTTGCTGTGCTTTTTCTCCGGAGGCCCTCACCTTACTCTGCCTAATCCCACGGTCCCTGTCTCAATGATGGATCTTTCAGAAAAGCAAAGTGGCCATAATGCAAACTTTAGGGAAGCAGGGGTACCTGTATAAGCACCATTGCCTAACAGGTTTTCTCTTTCCCCAGAGCTTCAGCTTCACACCCCTCACTGATTCACCATGGGGGAGAATTCAGAAAACTGTAAGGTTCCAGAGGAAATGTTCAATCGTTTGAAAGTCATAGATCCCCAGGAGGAAGAATGTGCTAGCCCTCTGGTTTCTAATCCCAGAGATCAGCAGTCCCAGAACAAGTTGCTCAAGGATGTTGGGGTCCATCCCCAGGAGGACCAGGGAAAAGAGGAGTGCTTTCAAGACCACAGCGCCTCATTTGAGGAGGAGCCAGGAGTGGACAAGGTTGAGAACAAACCTGATGATGATGTGAATGCCTCTGAATTAGATGAAGAGTATCTAATAGAACTGGAAAAAAACATGCCTGATGAAGAGAAACAGGTATTTTATTCGTTGTGTTTGATCTGTTACATAAACTGCTTTTTTTGTTACTGAATTAATATTTATTACTCTTTTTCCTGCTTTTTTTATTTAATTTTTTTTATTGAAGTATCATTGATATACAATCTTATATTGGTTTCGGATGTTCAACAGTTAGCCATATTATTAAATCCTCACCCCTTCAGTTTAAAAACAAAGCAAAACTGAAGAGACTAGTGGTTACCAAAGGGGAGGGGTTGGGGAGGGTGGGTGGGAAGGGAATGGGATTAAGGGGCGCTAATTCACAGTCACAATATAGGTAGGTCATGGGGAAGGTAGTACAGCATGGAGAGTAATTAATGATTCTATAACATCTTATTATACTGATAGTGACCGCAATAGAGAGGATGAGGACCTGACAATATGAGTGAATGTTGAAACCACTGTGTTGTTTATGTGAAACCATGATAAGATTGTATATCAATGATACTTTAATAAAAAATAGAATAAAAATTTTTTTAAAAATCCTCACCGCCTATCTATCAACGTAGAAAGATGTTACAGAATCATTGGCTATATTCTCCATGCTGTACTACCATCCCCATGACCACCTTATATAGTGATTGTGAATTATTGTGCCCATTTATCTCCCTCCCCCTACCCACAACCTGCCCCAACCTCTCCCCCTTGGTAATGACTAGTCACTTCTCAGTGTCTATGAATCTACTGCTGATAAACTGCTTTTTAAACTGAATAAATGTGGTTAATACTCTTATCATAGACTGCTTCATCCGTGATGGAGTAACTTGCCCATCTGTGTCCTTATTGCCTTAGTGGTGATGGATCTGAGATAAATCAGTAGTGTTACAGGGAAGCATTGAGTGTGTGTCTGCTTAGCAAAGAAATTTCCATTTTTTTTCTGTGAACTTTGAGTTCTTATGTTCCTGTCGTGTAATTATTGTCTGACATGTATGTGTATGTATACCTTTTAGCTTTTTTATGACCTCATCTATGATAACTTGAAATTCCTGCAATGAACATTTTTGGTCAGTCTTTAGAATTATGGTATTGCTGCCTGTTTATGTTAATCCCTTGTTAGCAAAAAAAACTACTGCCTAAACATCCTCGTGGTGGTTTGGTTACAGAGGGCAGTGATGTGGCCTGTATCATTTACATACCATTCTCAAGGAACAGATTTGTGTGTAATAGTAGCTGTCATTTGTTAAGCACCTATAATGGGCCTGCCACTGAGCTTAAGATGTTGTGTTTTCACTTAATCTTACAACATACCTGTGAGACATGTACTGTTAGCATTCCCCATAAGAGAGCAGAGCTTAAGTGGTAACATAACTTGCCCAAGATCACACATCTCATAAATGGCAGAGCTGATTGTCAAACCCAGATCTGTTTGATTCCGAAGTCAAAGTGTAAAGTAGAGTTTTATAACAAAAACAGCTGTCTGCCTACAAAGCAGACACACTAGTAAAATGTACGCTTTCCTGTTTCTTTGCCCCAGGCCACATTCTTAACTCTGCAAGCCTTCACTTTTAGAAATATAAGTGTTGGTGTCCTCCACATATATTCCTTCTGATCTCATGAGCAGTGTCATCTGAAAAGTTACCATGGTATCTGAGCTTGTCTGCAGAGAACAGATTGGTAGCTTATGCCTCTGATGAGCTCACCAGCTTAACAGGTTATGATGGATTAATAATGGGCTGAGATAGCAAATGTGCAGTGTGATAGTGGGAGTGGGGGGTAGCAAGGAGCATCTCTGGCTGTCCTTAGGCACTTCTCCTTATCAAATATGTTGGTTTTAACATGCATGTGTTAGCTTTTGTGCTAGTATGTGCCATCAGAAGAGGAGAATAAAGGGCAAAAATGAACCAAGTTCAAAGACTGCCTCAGTTGAAATGGCTCAGAAAATAAAATCAAGTACTGTTCAGTAATATTAGAGAAATGATTTTCCAGTAAGTGTTTGGTTCAGCTTTCATGTCAGTGGTGCAGGATTTTTAGAAACATTGATTAAACACTTATATTAAAAATGTTAGCAGTGCTTTTCTGATACCTTAATATTTTGCTCTGATATCAGTGAATTTTCTGCACTGCCATCAGTTCGACAGTTGAGTGGCTTGGCTCAAAGTGTTACATACTATGCTCCCCATTCCCAAATTAGTAATGCTTTTTTCTGTCTCCTGGCAAAGAAATCACATTTAAAGGTCTATAAATATTTTAAATTATTATTTTTATTGCCTGCAAATTGAATATTCTAAATAGCACAATACCTTTTAAACCCTTTTCTTTTAAAAATTGAGGTGTAATTTACATACCAATAACATTTTACTGTTTGGATTCTAATGGGTACAGTTGACAGAGTTTTGACAACTGTATACACCTGTCTCACACCCCTACCAAGATACAGAACATTTCCATCGTGCCAGAAACTCCTCTTCTGTGCTTCATCACTCATTCCTTCCTCCCCACACCCACCAGCCCAGGGAACCACTATTCTGATTCCTATCCCGTAAGTTAGATTTTTTTGTTCCAGAGTTTCATATAATCACTTTTAAAATGGAAACACTTTCTATTACTTTATGTTTTGCATACTGGCCTATATATTTTCACAGCTTAATTTGAAAATTTATACAATAGCTCGTAGAAATAACAGGCTGCAGTGATAGTCATTGTCATGTTCTAGAAATGTAAACCACTAATGCCCATGTAAAGAGACAACCTATGAGAGTGCAGCTGACTGTGGTGCTATTCTATTAGCTATTTTTATGCTATTTGCTAAATATCTTTGTGAAATTATTAGGAAACCAGCAAAACAGATGAAGAAATGTCTCTTCATTGATATATGGTTTGGTAGTATAGTTCTTTGGGGACAAGATAACTTGAGTCCTTTAAAATAGACAAAGTTAAGATAATTCAACAAGAAAACCAACACAGGTGACCAAAAATGTGAAAAGACTTTCAGCCTCACAATTTTTCATTGCAAACTAAAACATCATGTCTGATCTGTCAGGTCAGAACACTGATCCAATATTGACAAGAAGAGGACATAGGAACTCTTGTACTAATACTGGGAGTTTAAATTTCCACATCATTTCTATGAGAACAGGTATCAGATTTTTCTGTGAAGATTTCTTTAGACCAGGGCTGTCAATTTACCTTCTACAATAATGGGACTATTCTTTATCTATACTTCCCAATACAGTAGCTGCTGACCATCAGCTAACACAATTTAACCATCATCTGGCTGTTGAGCACTTGAAATGTTGTTGGTACAGTTGAGGAACCGAGTTTAAAAATTTTTTTTTTTAGTTAATTTAAATAGTCTAATTAAATGGCTAGCGAGTACCATATTGGACAGGACAGCTTTAAACCTCTGATTCTCTTCCAGTCATTTATTTTAAGGAAGTTATGAAGAGATGTGCACAGATATATATATATATATATATGAATGTGTTGCAGTGTCATATATCATTTTGGAAGTCTAGAAATAATGTGGAATGAGGGTAGTACTTTAAACATTTTTGGCATATTTATGCCATAGTGTATAATACAGTCATTAAAAAGAAAGAACTCTTAATATTGACATGGAAGAATGCCTGTAATGTAGTGTGAAATGAATTAAGCAGGTGTGATAAGCTGATTATAGTAAGAATTGTATTTGGTGTTTGTCCAGTTCCTGGCACAGAGTTCCTAAAAGCCTTGGAATTTCCTAAGTGCCAAGAAATAAGGTATATATTGTTATTGATAACAAGCCCCTCTGAACATACCTGAGTTAATGAGGTAACTTTTGGGCAGCACCTAAGGATGAGGTGCTTCTGTCAGAGTCTGGAGCTTTCAGCCTCCCCCTCCCCCTCCCCAGCTGTGGGGAGAGCACAGAGGCTGAGGGGTGAGTTATCACTAGTGGCCAGTGGTTTGACCGGTCATGTGATGTAATGAAGCCTGCACAGAAACCCAAAAGGATGGGGTTCAAAGAGTCTCCAAGCCAGTGGACACATGGAGTGCTATGAAGTGAACACACCCAGAGGGCATGTAAGCTCTGTGCCCCTCCTCATATCCCTCACCCTATACATCTCTTCCACCTAACTCGGGAATTCCTGAGTCACGTCCTTTGTGATAAACTGTTAATCTAGTTAGTGAACTCTTTTCCTGAGTTTTATGAATTATTTGAATCTGAGGAGGAAGTAGTGGGAATTTCTCATTTACAGGCAGTGGGTCAAAAGCAAGTGACAACCTGGGTTTGAAGTTGGCATCTGAAGTGGGTGTGGGTTTGGGCCAGTACTGTGGGACTGAGCCCTTAACCTGCAGAATCTGATGCTATTTCAAGGGAGATAGTATTGGAATTGAGTTAAATTGTAGGACACCAGCTGGTGTCTGCCACAGAGTTGGAGTGCTGTGTTTTCCCATATAGCAGTTTATAGAACAATGAGTTAATTCCATTTTTGTTAAAAATTTATGTGAAAATATGTTTATACATAAAAGTTTGGAAGGATATGCACCAAATTATGAAAAGTGAGTAGCTTTGAGTGGTGTGGTTATTGAGGAATATTGAGGAATTTTCATTTACATTTAATACAATTTTGTAATATTTGCTTTTTTTCTTACAGTAAGCATGTGTTACATTTATAAGCAATTAAAGTTATTCCTGTTTGAGAATATAAGTAAATAACAATTGAAATATAAGTAAATAAAAATTCTTTACAACCAGGATGAACTTCTACCCCAAAAAGATACAGAAAGCTGACCTGAGAACTTAAGAAGGAAGTGCTGTCATAGGATATGTGTATTGTTTCTCTTTAGGCAAAATCAAGATCAGTAGCTAAAGCCTGTTATTCAAGGTGACTTTACTTACCCTGTTGGTGAGAAAGTAATCCACGCTCAGGTGGCCCTCTAGTTCTCAGCAGAACTCATAAATCAAGAGTTAGGGAGGAAAAAGGCAGTTAACATTTGGTAAAAACAGACAAAATCTCTTAAGGAAAGCGCTGTGTATGTGTGTGTATTTCAGCAGCAAATCTTAACTATGTGTGA